TCTTCACCTTCTCCTCCTCTTCTTCCTCTTGTCTTCCTCCTCCTCCTTTTCACAGAGTCCTTTCCCCAGCCATGGAGAGCTTGCCTGCCTTGGCTCTTTCCCTTTCCTAGGCTCAAAGTTCAGAGAAGCCAGTGGGGCTTCTTCCCTCCTGGCTCCCTCCTGGCTCCTTGGCAAAGGCCAGGGATGTCAGAAGCAAAAGGGCCTCCTGCAGGGATTGAATTACAGGGTCAGGTAGAAGGAGGCCATCAAGGAGAAAGTTCCTGTTTGGTGGAGAAAAGTAATTCTTTTCAGTTGAGCAAAGGCTAAGCATGCTGGCAAGAACCCCTGGCCTGTTTTGCTCCACATTTCTACGTTAGGACCTTTTTTCTTACACTGTAGTCTGGTTCAGAGGTGCAAAGCCAGGAGGAAGGGGAGAGATGTTGCGGGAATTGCAACTCCCAGAATCCCCTAGCTAGCATGTTTCCGAGCTCAGCATGCATTCTCGTCCCTTGACTTGTTGCCAGAGTGACAACTGGAGAAGGCTCCTGTACCTTCAGTGGTTGTGCAGAAGAGGGGATTCCTGCCACCAGGTTCCCTCTTCTACACAACTGTTACAAGTTATCCCGCAGAGGGACGGGATAATAATAATAATAATAATAATAATAATAATGTATAGGAGCCCTCTCCAGTTGTCACTTTGGCAACCTTATTTGCAACCTTGCAACCTCCATGATGGGGCTCAGATTTACCTTCCCTGGCTTTGCAACTTCCACCTCTGCATGATCATACTCTTAAATCTGAGCTAAATCCCTCTTAGGTAGGGTTGCCAGTGGAAAACATGAGGAAAACTCCTATACTTTTAGTGGTTGTGTAGAAGAAGGCCATTGTGGTGTAGTAGCCTTTAAAGTGGTGTCAAACTTCATCACTGTTACCGTGTAGATGCACCCTAAGTCTCCTAAAAGGATTAAGGGCCCTAAGGAGACGTTCAGGTCCCCTGACGTTGTTCATCCATCAAAAGCAGCCCCTGGTGAGCAGACGCAGCAGGTTCTTGGGCCATTAACTTCCTCACTCCGTTGAGATATATTGCAATTCTATTTGAATCATAAAACTTCATTTCCAATTTCACACCTGTCTCTATAAACTAGCATATGCAGTTCTATGCAAATAAATTTCTTCTCTTGGCATCTTCTTTGCTGATGGGCGAGTGGTCAGCCTGGTGTTGCCAATCATATATGAAGACAAAAAAAATCTATCATGAGCCAAGAAGCTCAAGAAATGGGTTGTGGGGACCCAGCTTTCCCAGAGCTGATGCCCTGGAGGTGGTTGGGACTATATTGCTTATCATCCCCAACCAACTGCCTGGGGATGATAGGCATGGAACTCCAATATTTTTAAAGAGTGTCTCATCGTGAGATGGTTGGGTTTGTGGTCTTAATAAAAAGTGAATGGTTCATTTTGTCATGCTTTTCTTAGGAAAAAGACCAGCGGCTTTCTGTGGGCCCTGTCTACCTCTGTGAAGTTCAGAGTTAAAAGTGATGCCAGCCTTCCTTGCATTTAATAGCCCCCCCCCAGCGAAGCATTTAAAAGCAGCAAAATAACAAACAGAAACATAAAACCCAACCCTCTCCTACATATCTTCTGCAAAGCAAAGAGCATTTTTATAAAATGAATGGAAAACATTAATAAAGCCCTTCTCAATCATTCCAAGGCAACCAAGAGACAGTCTGGGAGACAGTCTAATTAAAGACAAAACGGCTCTCCAGCTCTTCCTTTGGTTCCTATGCCACCAAAGCTCTCTGCCTTCTTCCGGGGAATTGTCTGATGCAAAGGCAGTGAAGTTCTGAGGACCTTTAAAGCTTAAGTGAGGAGGCAGGAAGGCAAAGAGAGAACATCAAGCAATGATGCTCCAGTATGGGCCAGGGATGAGCAAAGCACTAACAGTGGCTTAATGTGAAATGGTGGAGGTGGCTGAAGTGTAGTGGAGTGTATGTGAAATCCTCACAGATTCCCCACACCTTCCAACCAGCCCAGTTTTGCAAGGACATCCCCGATTACTCCTCTGCCATCCCGTTTTTTCAGCTGCTTTGAAAGTGTCCCAGTTTCTCTCTCCTCCTCCCGCTTTACCCCTTTGACCTTGGCTTGCTTCCATTGCTGCAGACTTTAGGTTCAAAGTGTAAAAGTCGTTTCCACTCAGGATGCTGCCACGCTGCAAAAACCAATCAATTTGTTTGTGTCCCAGCTGGTTTTGTCTCTCTCTTGTGTTGAAATTCTTCAAGAAAACTGGTTGAAATTTGGAGTCACAATTT